ATATATATATATATATATATATAAACACACATAACATACACACACGACCTTTTGGAAATAGCAATCTGTAAGTCTTACCACCTCCACATTCATTGACAATACGTATCAAATGCGTATTTCAGTAAATGGCTACGGATGCTACTAACATTCTCGATTACCTCTTACTAAATTGCCCGTTTCCAAAAATGGTTTTGCAGAAGACAACAATTCAAATCAGTGGTTGCGAGGTAACCTTAATAAACTGGTCTTTTGACAAGGTCAACAGTGGTCTTGAACTGGTAGTGCAGCTGTTCAACTTTTGGTACGGACTTCAGCTGGGCCATTTAATTTCTAACCCATGAATCCACTCTTTCTTCACACCATCTGTGTGGCCCACCTCTTCAGGGGCAAGGAGGCCAAAATGGCATTAACAGCTTGAGAAAGATTATCAATACACAACACTCAGCATTACGGAACAGTGAGTCTACACTAACAGAGCAGAACCCTGAATCTCCTTTAAGTGTTTTGGCTCCTTAAAAGATATAGGAGGTGGCCATAAATAGGACCTTCAGAAATGTTTGCCTAGAAGGAGAAAATAATTAGCCCCCGAAACCGTAGAGCGTGCGTCCCTGGCGCTTGAGCGCATAGACCACGTCCATGGCCGTGACCGTCTTGCGCTTGGCGTGCTCCGTGTAGGTGACGGCGTCGCGGGTCACGTTCTCCAGGAAGACCTTCAGCACCCCGCGCGTCTCCTCGTAGATGAGGCCGGAGATGCGCTTCACGCCGCCGCGCAGGGCCAGGCGGCGGATGGCGGGCTTGGTGATGCCCTGGATGTTGTCGCGCAGAACCTTGCGGTGGCGCTTGGCGCCGCCTTTGCCGAGGCCCTTGCCTCCCTTGCCGCGTCCAGACATAGTGTGACTCGCACTACAATGACACAGATAACGAGTTTTACTTATATTTATCTCAAGGGTTAAATTATCGGACCTATTTGAAAACTGCAAGCACAAAATGGCGGGAAAGCATATTCGGTCCTGGCTCCAACTAGTAATTGCAAAGCCTAAAAGATTGATAGGGACATTGTTTTGGTTTTCAGACTCCGAACAAAAATAACACTATATACACTGGGAAAAGTATCCTGATTAGTTTTACTTATTCCATATATATGCTTGGATCATTTGCAATATTTGCTTACCAAAGTGCCAAAAAAAAAAGTAAATTTGTCATTGTCAAGCAACACAGCTGAGAAAACCAGGTTTTGAGAGCTTGAAATGAGTAAGCAGTTTTTAGACTTGGAACTTTGGTGACCTATGGTTTTATAGATTTAATTGATGAGCAAAATGATATACCAGGTTCGCATTATTTTACCGATTGTTACGAACAGAAGCGCAGACGAAAATGCGGACATTTCCAATGGTACCTAACTAAACAATTTGTCGATTTAACCCAGGAAACTGGTCAGGTTTTTAATGAACTGTGTACAAACTAAGGTTAGGGTTAGGGCAAGCCCAGACAAACCTAGTCACAACGACCTATCCAGGCGAGCGTGCTCTACAACCTATGGCCTAGAATTCAGACAGGTCAATGCAGCAACACCAGGCCGACACTCTTAATTTGGACGAGAAAAAACCATAAGAGACAAAACAGCTCCTTTAAGTGAAACTGTAGGTGGCTCTGAAAAGAGCCTTTGGGTTCAAAACTGGCAGCAGTAATACAAGTTTATGCTCTCTCACCACGGATGCGGCGCGCCAGCTGGATGTCCTTCGGCATGATGGTGACCCACAGGTCAATGCAAACACCAGGCCGACACTCTTAATTTGGACGAGAAAAAACCATAAGAGACAAAACAGCTCCTTTAAGTGAAACTGTAGGTGGCTCTGAAAAGAGCCTTTGGGTTCAAAACTGGCAGCAGTAATACAAGTTTTTGCTCTCTCACCACGGATGCGGCGCGCCAGCTGGATGTCCTTCGGCATGATGGTGACCCGCTTGGCGTGGATGGCGCACAGGTTGGTGTCCTCGAACAGCCCCACTAGGTAGGCCTCGGACGCCTCCTGCAGCGCCATGACAGCCGAGCTCTGGAAGCGAAAGTCGGTTTTGAAGTCCTGCGCGATCTCGCGCACCAGGCGCTGGAAAGGCAGCTTGCGGATCAGCAGCTCGGTGGACTCCTGGTAGCGGCGGATCTCGCGTAGCGCCACGGTGCCTGGCCGGTATCGTTGCGGCTTCTTCACGCCGCCGGTGGCCGGCGCGCTCTTGCGGGCAGCCTTGGTAGCCAGCTGCTTGCGCGGGGCCTTGCCGCCGGTGGACTTACGAGCGGTTTGCTTTGTTCGAGCCATCCTGAGAACCGAAAACAAGTACAACGCGACCTTGCTCTTATTTATAATGGCAAAGTCCTCCTGATTGGTCAAAACTCTCAAATTTCGGGGAAGGAATGGAAAAACACCACGAGCCCTGTGATTGGCTACCAAGTCCCAAATTTAAAATCCCTACCTATCACAGCGTTCTTCACTGTATCCGTCTTCCACTTCCGGTCTCCCGCAGATATTGTACAGCTACCTATATTTCACTCCAAATATTTGAGAATAAATGTAAACAGATGGAAAGAAACGTTCTGCAGCATCTGGGAAGTTTTAGAGTTCATTCCCCCAGCTCAGTGACGTTCTTTATCTTCGATACAATTTCTTGCTTTGAAGGAATGTCTTACCCAGCACTAGTTCCGTGGTTTTCACAGGCTAAAACTTCCCTACAACCACTGGCATCACTTCCGAACACTTTTAATACAAAGCATTAAAGTCTCGCCGCGGTGAAAATTCGATGATTCTTTTCAAAAGCTGTAAGATTCCTGCCGACATTGACCAGACTTCTAAGACTTGACTCCTCTGACCTAATTATGGGAAAAATTTAACTTGTAGTTTCTAGCTTTAAAAGTTCACAGCTAATTTCCCCCAAAAAAGAAACTGGCATAAGACAGGACCCATAAATTTATATCAGGGTATTTCTCATTCAGATAAGGATATCACAAGGACAACACAATACTTTACATTTCAGGGGGAAAAATGCTGAAAATACTTTTCCTAAGGATTCACAAAAGAATTTATGTGGTTTCACATAAATAGCCAATCAAAAGGTAGTTTGGAATGCGCCTTATTTGCATGAGCACAGTCTATTGGCTACTCTAGTCCAATCATGGTTGCAGGAACTTTACACCCTATTTGCATAGAGCGTCTACAAAAATCAGACCTGGGCGGTGCGGTGATCTATTCCACTTGTTCTTTCCTTTTGGCAGTTATGCCTGAGCCAGCGAAATCAGCCCCGGCCCCGAAGAAGGGCTCGAAAAAGGCGGTGACCAAGGCGCAGAAGAAGGACGGCAAGAAGCGTAAGCGCAGCCGCAAGGAGAGCTACTCGGTCTACGTATACAAGGTGCTCAAGCAGGTCCACCCGGACACGGGTATCTCGTCCAAGGCCATGGGAATCATGAACTCCTTCGTCAACGACATCTTCGAGCGCATCGCCGGCGAGGCGTCTCGCCTGGCGCATTACAACAAGCGCTCGACCATCACGTCGCGGGAGATCCAGACGGCCGTACGCCTGCTGCTGCCCGGAGAGCTGGCCAAGCACGCCGTGTCCGAGGGCACCAAGGCCGTCACCAAGTACACCAGCTCCAAGTGAGCGCGCCCGCTGCTCCCTTCAAACCCAAAGGCTCTTTTCAGAGCCACCCACAATTTCAAGGAAGAGCTTTAATGCTAACGTTTCTGTGGCTTTCTTCGGTAGGTAATCTAAGGTGGTTTTAAAATAACATGTTGGCCCACGAAGCATTTAGTCAGGACTAATGGTGATCCTGCGTAACAGAAAGAAACTTCTTTTACGCTGCACATTCATTCCTTTGCGTATTTGGTTATCTACCTGTAACACTACACAGTATGTTGCATTCCTGGGCTTCGGCCTTTGCTCCATATAGTAAGGAAGAATCCTTTTAAAAGCTTGTTTGTAACCTAACTTACAGTAGTTGATTACAGCACCTGTGAACACCCAGCACTTTAAAAAAAGCAAGTCATTTTTGAGATACCAATTTTAAAAGTTAGTCTTAAAAATGTCAATAAGCATCATAACTACCACAGTTAGTTCCCTGTACCCCCAGAAGTAACAGTGTGCATAAAGTTTACAAATTCACCCTTGGGGGAGATGCCTTGTAGCTACCTGTCTTCTCACCTGAAAGTACTGAGAAAATTTTACCTTTTCTGGCCTCTGGCCTCTGGCCTGTGTTTTCACTGAATTCTTAGCAAGAGCACAAAGATCTGAGGATGAAGAATATGAGGATCTGCATATCCAATTAAGTCTAAAAAAGTCTACTGCACAGCAGAGAAAACCATTTACAGAACGAGGACAAATTTTGCCAGCTACTCACACCAGTAATAAGCAGAATGTATAAATAACTCAAGTAGACTTTCTCTGAATTTAAAGACCCAACAAAAAAGTGGGTATATAAAATGAATACACACTTGAGTACATATGCCCAATAAATACGTGAAAAAAGTGTTCAGAATCGTTGGCTATTTGAGAAATGCAAAGTAAACAACACTGAGATTCCACCCCCCGACCCCCGCCCAAAGAACAGCTATCTTTAAGAAACAACCAGTAACAAAAGCTGGAGAGGTTGCTCTGGGGGGTCTGGAAGGAATCCTGCACAGTTGGTGAGAGGGTAAACTGGTAAAACCATTATGGAAATTACTATGTAAATTCCTCAATAAATGGAAAAAATTCTATTTGATCCAACTATTCTCCTAGGTATCTTCCCAAGAGGTTTTTTTTAAATGTATGTAAATACCATAGTATTATATGCATACCCATATTTATACCAGCAATTATATAATAAGTAAACCTTGGAAGCAGCCTGTATGTCCATCAACAGATGAATGGATAAAGAAAATGTGGTACATATATACACAACGGAGCAGTACTCCACCATAAAGAACAGAAGAGTCATTTGTAGAAAAATGAATGCACCTTGAAAACAATGTTAGAAAAAGTAAATCAGACACACAAACTTAAAGGTTGCAATTTTTTTACAAGAGAATCTATGTACATACATAAAGTACAAAGTAAAAGGTGAGAAGAAAACAGGAAAAGAAAGAAGTCATTGTAATCCAGCATGTGCAATGTATCTAAAAGTGTACCTTCATTTAGTATAATTCTATGTTTTATATGGTTTTGGGCTTGTTAGTCTGAATGTTAATCTGCATGTATAACAGTCAACTTTATTAGGATTTATAAGATAAATATGTGAATCTAACCAGAGGGAAGAAAGAAAAAGAATTGAGATGGGTTAGGTACACATACCAAGTGCCCACAATGAGTGTAACTATTATGTACTGCAATCACGTACTGATTTTTTTTTTTTAATTCTTAAGTGAGGATCTAGTTCCTTCCTGCATCAAGGAGCTGGCTTCCCTGTAACAGTTCAACTAAAAATATGTATTGTGTCGGAGTGAAAATGTTCGCGTCCATTTCTGCAATCCTGTAATGGTCCTCTTATGTAAACATCTGCTTGGGTTAACACAGCAGAGGCTTCAGTTGTAGGTTGACTCAATGTACCAGCATTTTCATTTAGTTCTGAAACTGACAAATTAGAGTTCTCATAATAGACTGAAAATATATAGGCTATCCCAAACAGCGTAATGACTTCAAATGATCCTTATTAAAAATATATATATAGAGAGAGACAGATTAGATAGATAGATAGATAGATAGATAGATACATAGATACATAGATACATAGATACATAGATACATAGATAGATGATGGAAGATGGTACATGACCTAATGAGAATTTGTTTCCTAGTAGACAGGATTGGGAAGACATTATAGAAGGCAGATAAATCAATCATAGTAAATTGAAGGCTAGATAGGATTTGCATCTAAGAAAAACAAGAAACCCAATAAACATAAGTAATGTTGGTAATCTTATCCTTACAGCCAGCCAACAGGCCCAGTCAGTTATCTTGAGCAGCGTGATAGTCATATGGGGAAAAAAATGAAGTTCCCCTCATAGTTCTAGGGGGAGCAGGAGAGGTGAATGGAAAATATTCTAAGATTCAAGATCAGAGATATGCCCAAGACTCCTCCCCAAATGAGGAGATAGGTGAGCGGACTAGGGCTGTTGAGTGTAATCATTTTTTTTTTTTAACAGAGAAAGGGGCCTGAGAAGGATAGAAATTATCTTGTTCCCTAAGCAGGCCCGTTTTGCCCACAGCAGAGTAAGCAGCCAATCAATGAAATGAGTATAAAAAAGAAAGCTTATTTACAAAGAAGCCAAGAGTACAGGTATGAGAGCCATGGCTCAAATACACCTACTCCATCCCAAGCATAGGGTTTAGAGATATTTATGGGATACAGAAGAATAGGGTGGTCTGAAAAGTGCGAAAGGGTGATTGGAGGTGAAGTAATCTGTGATTCATGTCTAAGCAGTGAACTCATGGTTCTGCATGGGATTCGTGTTCAGACAGTGGCTGTTACCATCATCTGAGGGTAGAGTTTTCAGCCACTTGATATGCAAAAGTTGCCCTCCAGACCCTTGTGCAGGTCCTGGGAAAACTGCTGACTTCTCCAAAAACGACCCTCAAATCCCTGAAAAGTAACTAAGGCAAACATTATCATCATAACCCATATGTCAAAAGTCATCTATAACAAAGCTAGTGGGAGACTACTATTTTGCTTCACTATGTGACCCAGAGAATGGTGATTTTTTTAAAAGCAAGTAACAGGAGAAAACAGGGATCCAAGAAGTAAAAGGTACAAAGGGTTGATGAGTGTATGGGAGACTAGGCCAGCTTGTGGTTTTTAGCTGCTAATTACCAAAATCTAATTATGTCCTCTTGTAGAGTCTTAGAGACATGGATTTTACTCTCTAGATGGTTCAATTTTAAGAATGCTGTCAGGAGCTGGGTGTGGTGGTGCACGCCTGTAATCCCACAGTACTCAGAAGGCAGGATTGCTGTGAGTTCGAGATCAACCTGGGGTACAGAGTGAGTTCCAGATCAGTCTCAACTACATAGTGAGAACCTGTCTCAAAAAACCAAACAAACAAACAAACAAAAAAAAAGAGTGCTGTCAGGGCCGGGGATTTAGTTCAGTGGTTCCGGCGCTTGCCTTGCAAGCACAAGGACCGAGTTCAACCTCCAGTACCAAAAACAAAAAACAACAACAACAAAAAGCAAGAATGCTATCAGATCCTTGAGAGATGCTGCTTCACTGGAAAAGACGCATGCTTAAAATTATAAGACTCTTTTAACAAATGACCAGAAGATGACTGTAGCCAACTGAGCAAGGGCTCAGTTTAGATCCTAATCTTTACAGAGATTGCAATCTAAAATGGATATTTAAATAATAATCGTAACAACTAACTGAAAGGGGACGCATCATTGTGAAAGTCATTTTTTTAAATTAATTTTTGTGTAGGAATTGAGATTGAACACAAGGCCTTCGCACTGAGTTACACTGCTGGCCTTCCCACCCCACCCAGCTGGGTTGAAACTTGCAATCCTCCTGCCTCAGCCTCCCAGCGTGCTAGGATTATAGGTATGTGCTACCATACTTAGCTTCCACTAGCTTTTGATGGGGCTAAATTTAAATCACCAAAAACTGACATGAGTCTTGAAAATTTTGAAGTCCCATGGAAGCAATTCTGCATGACGAATAGAACAAAAGTGATGAAAAGTGGAAAGAAGCAAGCAAGACAGATATGGAGATGCAAAAGACTTATCCTGCTTAGGGGAGGAGAGTCAGCAAGTTAGCACTGGCAAAGTCCAAGTCTGCATGAACAGAATGTAGTTAAGAACAGGGATCCCCCAGGTCTTGTTGTCCAGGACAATAATCTCAGCAGTGGCAGGAAGATCACAAATTGCAGCCCACCCTGGATGATGAAGGAAGACCTGTCTCACACTAAATTGTAGAAAAGTCTAGGGATGTAGCTCAGCTCAAAGGCCCTCAGCTCAATCCTTAGTACTGAAAAGGAAAGGGAAGAAGTGACATTGATATTTTTATGGCCATGTCTCATCACTGATTGGAAACAAGACTTTCATAAAAATCCTAATTCGTGCCTTAGTAACATGTACAAAACAATACCATAGTGATAGCTAATCTTGCCCTTCCTTTTTTAAAAAGATAAAGTTTTTTTTAATGTACACCTGTATGTGTTAGTAACAGAGATCCCAGGAAGTAACCCTCAATGTAAAATAATCACTAGGTAAATAATCATACAAGTGTTTCTCTGTCCTGTAAAACTATGTAGCTTGGCCCTGGAATGGGACTCTGATGCCTTTGCGGAACACCACTGATATGTTCAATGTGTAATCTGCCTTATTGTTTGAATTTTTCTCAAATATATTCTATTTAATTCTACTAGGAAGAATGAACACACACACAACAAGTGGGACAGATAAAATTCATAAGGATTTTATAGATGATTCATAGAAATTTAGAAGATGTTTTAGGTAAGTAAACAAGGTAAGGTGCAAACAAAAATTAAAAGCTGTATGTAGTTTGAGCCATAAATTAGTGGCCTAAGACACAAGTTAAAGAAAGTCAGGAAGAGCTTGCATGTGCTTCAGAGACAGGAGTACATAAAAAAGCAGAATATGTGTGAATACCAAATATTCATGAAGAAGTTCAACATTTCTGAGGTCTTCAATTGACAGATTTTCTCCAATTTGCCCTCTGCTCATGACTGCTCTGTTTGTCACTGGTAAATAACATCTGTGGTTTATATTTCTTCCTGCATCTCTTCCACAGGTCAAATACATGTAGACTCCAAATAATGTCCATCTGCTAAGCCCTTTTGGTCACTGTCAACTCTGGCTCTCAAAACCACCCTCTAGGGCCGGGGTACTCAGTGGTGCCACCACTGGCCTCACAAGCTCAAGGTCCTGAGCAGAACAGTACATTGGGAGAGGGGGAAGCTTGCACATATAACAGACCTAAGCAAGGATTCAGGTTCTGTAACTCTCATTTGCAATTTATCTGAAATATAGTAACTCGCCGATCCTCTTCCCCTTGTTTCCTACTATGTGTTCAAATTGATTCAATTAAAATATGCACAAGCCATGAAATTTGGGAACATTACATCAGTCTGTGAGCCTTTCCGTCCATGTCCTCAGGACCAGCCTGCCTCAGTGTATTTGGAGGCTCATTTGCATTAAGGGAATTTCTCATATGACATTTTATTATGTCCCTTCCCCTTATAGCCTAAGATGCCTGCTCCAGCACCATCATGATCACATTTCATCCTGAAGGAAGGAGAGAAGGGCGTGGAAAGGACATTCCCAACATTTATGGAAACTGAAGGACCTGAGGCAATGCCACCCCCAAAATGCCAATTAGGACTTCAAACTGAGACCATGTAGGGAAAAGCAAGCACAAGGAAAGGTTTCTCTGAATTTCCACAAGGATACAATTATTCTGGAATTATTTGGAATCTCTTTATTATCACCAGAGAGATGGGAGATCAAGACCACACCCAAACAGACTTCATCATAGGTTATAGCGCCTATTCTTCCGAAGGCCCATTCATCCTTCCAAAAATCATTTACTCTGCCCTAAATAACCTACACTCCCTTCTCTCTTCTCTATGCAGAGGGTAGATAAGCTTCTCACTGGCAGATAAGATCTCACTGGGCTTTTGAGCATTCACTTCTCTTCCATGTGATGGTCCCATGAACATAATAAATTCTCCTGTTATTTCATAGATTCACTTATTCAACCCTCAGGGGATACAAAGAAGTTTTCCCTCTATGAAGCCTTGATGGTGGCATAATGTAAATACATCACTGATCAAAAGGGCCCAATAGCACACCTACCTGCAAAGGAATTGGGGGGATTTTAATCACTGAGTAGGAAAATATAACCAGTTTTACAATACAAATCTGTTGCAATCCCTGCCTCGGCTGTTTACCCAAGGCAGTATAAATGAAACAAAAAGAGCAGCCCTTAGAACCTAATCAATCCCAAGGGTGGTGGTGCATGCCTGTTAAATTCCAGCCCTTAGAAGCCTGAGGCGGGAGGATTGCCAACCTACTTTGCGAGTTCAAGGCCAGCCTCTACTACATAAGCAAAACCTTGGACAGGGGACACTTAATCGGTGACTCTTTTTACCTTCAGGAGAACATAGGCCTTCCCCAGAATTTTTTTTTTTTAAGGATTATAAACAATGGTAAGAATTGGTTCCGTTGGAAGAGAGGACAAGATAATCCAACTCTAGAATGAAATTCTCATTTTAAGGTGAACATCATTAGGAGTCCAAGTGTTGTAGCTGTGTACAGGCAAAAATGTGGCTAAGGAAATCAAGAAAACCCCTTATTCCAGTCAGATTCACATATCAGTCTCCTCTGGAAATATGGCCACAGAAATACCCAAAAATAATGCTTTACTAGTTCTCTAGGTTTTGTTTTGTTGTTGTTGTTGTTGTTCTTGTTGTTTTATGGGGGTGTAGGGGATCAAACTCCGAACCTTGCATATTTGAGGCAGTCAGCAGCACCACTGAGCTAAATCCCAGGCCCTGCAGGTATTTAATACATTCAATTTAACATCCAAAATTAAACTTGAAAAAAGAAAATTGAATTTACCACAGAAATAAGGAAACTGTAGTTGTGTTTCTCAAGAGTTAACCAAAGGAAGAAGAGAGAGAGAGAGAGAGAGAGAGTTAACTAAGAGAGGAAATTGCATTTGCCTCAGCAGTAGAACTTCTATCTCTAGTCAAGTGATCTTTCAAAACTGGGTACGACTGTAAGGATAAGGGAGATTTACTGAATATAGTAGCTCTTGGACCCTCAATGGGAAGAGCTCACGAAAGAAATCAAGATCTAGGGAACTGATATTGTATCCAAAAATTCTCAATGTTATTTGGGCAAATCATGATGGACACAACACTTCTGCTCCTCCTTCTGCTATCATTTTCAAAAATTGAAAGTAACTGCTAGTGTAGATGCCATAATTGAAATCCCTGTATCTCAGATGACACTGCAATATCATCCAACATGAAGGGTTCAGAAAACAAATGATCACCACCAAGCCTTGGGCAAATTCTGTGATAGATTTATCAACTTCCTATAAAATCTTCCCAATCCTATCTGTCTACCAGGAAACAAATTCTCATTAGGTTATGTACCATCTTTCACTATATAGATGCCATAATTGAAATCCCTGTATCTCAGATGACACTGCAATATCATCCAACATGAAGGGTTCAGAAAACAAATGATCACCACCAAGCCTTGGGCAAATTCTGTGATAGATTTATCAACTTCCTATAAAATCTTCCCAATCCTATCTGTCTACCAGGAAACAAATTCTCATTAGGTTATGTACCATCTTTCACTATATATATATATCTATTATGAGAACTCTAACTTGTCAGTTTCAGAACTAAATGAAAATGCTTTGGGATCACTGTCCTTGAAAATCAGATCCCGGTCAAGGGAGTTTGGAGTCCCTGTGCATGGCAACCCGAAGCCGCAGGTTCATCTCCTACCAGGATTCCTGTTCCTCTGGCTTTTGGTTCTTAAAGTCTTTGTGACAAGGTACTTTCAATAAATGATCTGTCTTTTCAGCTCAAAAAAATATATATCTGAAAGTGACAAATTGGTAAATAAATAAAAGCCATGACAACGGAACAGCTGATACACAGGAATCTGTGCTGAAAGCCCGCGTGTAAAGATGGAAAGGGATCTTGAATGTCTGACAAAAAGCTTAGAATGGTATCCACCCCTCCTGGTAGCACCCCCTAAACCTGGGGCAGCCAATTACTGAATACAGATGTGTTTCAGTATAGACTCACTCATATCATCCTTCTGCTCAAAATTGTTCTACCTGGGAGGCTGATGCAGGACTGCCAAATCGCACCCAGCCTGGACAACACAGTGACAGGGTGAGTCTGCCTCAATAAATAAGGGGTGAGGATGTAATTCATAGCAAAGACTTGGGTTCAATCCCAGGAAGAGAAAAGGGGGAGGGGGGGAAACACTGTTGTGAATGCCAGGTGACCATTACAGTGATTCCCTGTACTGGGTTAACACAGTTCTCCAGCAGGCCAAAAGGTCCCTTTTGGAGACTATTTCTCTCAATGCAAATTACATGAAAACGTACCTACTCCTTGCTAAGCCTGAGTAAACAGAACCTGGTTATGGGACTGGCGCTGATTTACTGAATTCTCAATCCCAGCTTCCTATGGATAGCACCACTGTCTATATTAATTATAACTAGGTTATCTCTCAATTGCATGGCCTTCCCCCAGAAACCCATTACCTGTTAGGAATGGGCCCAAAGGTTTCTTTTATAAAAACTAAAAATGACGGAAACTGAGACCAGCAAACTAAGCAGAAATTTCTGTATATACAGTTATGTACAGTTTAGAGAATAGTCTTTTGCCATGAACACAGTTGGTACAAACTCATTCACCACCTAGTTAAAACTCTACACCCACAATCACTACTATAATTAGGTGCCAAGCTAGTTTTCTTAAGAATCACTTTCTGGTATTTTATGTAGTACCAAATTTGGTACCATACAATTTCTCTAGCCCTAGATGGGGGAACCAAACTATTTCCTATATTGATTGTGGGTTCTCTTGCTTCTAGTGGGTGGAAACACTGAATGACATCATGTACACCGGATCTGGGAACTGCTTTGTTCTGCTACCATGAATTAGAGAATTCTGATGGGGTGGATTTTTTTTTTTCAACAATCTACTGCTAGCAAGTCCGTGTGGAGACCTTCCCCTTGTTTTTCTCCATACGCCTCTCCTTCAATTATTTGCAATGGTTTCATTACATATTAATACTTGATATAGTAACTCCAGTTATTTTGTTCCATCGTTTGTAATTAAAAAATTAACTACTACCAAGGATAACGTCAAGCCAAGACTTGATTTTCCTTGTTACATATTGTTTAATTGAGCAAATGAGGTTCGACATTAAACAGGTTGTTCGACTATACTTAGTGCAAAACACTTACAGTACATGTCCTCTTTAGCAAAATGTTACCCTTTTGTACTTTCGAGCCGTATTATCAACAAGACTCCAACTCAGTACACCTTAAGGTACAGCTTTCAAGACAGCAAATTTCCCCAAGACTTTAATTAAAGGTTGTAACTTACCAGCGGACTATACACTCATGTAAATAAAATAGCTAAGTTAGTTACAGCTATTTCAAAAGAGTAAGTAGGTGGCTCTTAGAAGAGCCTTTTGATTGGTTTAAAGCAGCAAGATAAACTTAAGCCCTCTCACCACGGATGCGGCGGGCGAGCTGGATGTCCTTGGGCATGATGGTGACCCGCTTAGCATGAATGGCACACAGATTGGTGTCCTCAAACAGCCCCACCAGATAAGCTTCACAAGCTTCCTGCAGCGCCATGACGGCCGAGCTCTGGAAGCGCAGGTCAGTCTTGAAGTCCTGCGCGATCTCGCGCACCAGGCGCTGGAACGGCAGCTTGCGGATCAGCAGCTCGGTGGACTTCTGGTAACGGCGGATCTCGCGCAGCGCCACGGTGCCGGGCCGGTAGCGGTGCGGCTTCTTCACGCCGCCAGTGGCCGGAGCGCTCTTGCGGGCAGCCTTGGTAGCGAGCTGCTTGCGCGGGGCCTTGCCGCCGGTGGATTTCCTAGCAGTTTGCTTCGTACGAGCCATAACCTCAGGATGAAGACAAAAGAAAGAATAACGTATGGTGCAAAAGATTGGCTTTATATACACTCAGAAATATTCTGATTGGTCATGACGATTTTCAAAAGTCCCGCGTATTAAAACTATTGGTTGAAAATCAGTGAGTTTATTGGTGGATAACTGGAAACTCTGATTGGATGAGTTATTCCACTATATAATCCGGTAGTCTGTTACTGTTAGCGACGCCGAGTTCATTTCCTGATTTACTACTGCGCGCTGCTCAATTCCTAATACTCACAGAGCAACACTTGAACTTCTTGCAAATTCTTCTCATTTAGAAAATATATGGTAGAGCTGGAAAGACCACACTTTAGGAACCCATATAATTTGAACCCACAAGCGTTTCCTAGTCTGGTCTTTGTATGACTGCACTACAAATGCTACATGACAATCGAACATTGGCTCAAATAAAATTTTTATCTCGTTTCAGAAATTGAAAACCCAGACTATCTCGACTTTCCAATGACTGCATCGATTCGTTGTGAGATCTACATGATTTCCTAGGTTACTACACCTGCTACTATAGTCCTTGAAGGTTTCCCCAAATTGCACTCATGGCTTCTTTTGGATTTCCCTATTTTGGGGACTTAGCTTTAAAAAGTTTCCAAACTTTTCTGAAACCTGTTCCCTGCCAGATGTTCAACATTGCAGTATTAAGTGTTCGTATTTCTGGTGAATATTCAGCCACAGTGGTCTCACGAGATATTCAGGATTTTTTTTTTTTTTTTTTTTTTTTTTTTTTTTCAACTGGACCTTGCGCTTACGAAGCAGGCGGGCGGCGGAACCACTGAGCTAAATCCGCGGCCCACTATTTTTATTTCTATTACTATGGTTTGTTTCGGGGGAGGGAGTATTATTTTTTTTTGTACCGGGGATCAAATTTGGGACTTTTTACTTGGGAGGCAGGCGGGGAACCCCTGAGCTAACTTCCAAGCCCCTACATGGATTCTTGCAGGTAAAGCTTTAATAAAAGTTGGCCGAATGTTCAGAATCTTTAGACTTCACCCTGTTTTCTGCCACGTGCTCTTTTACTTGAAAATGTGGATGGCTCTGAAAAGAGCCTTTGGGTCTAAAGGACTAAAGGAGGTTGTAACACTTTCTGCTTTTTAACTACTTATTTGCCTTTCGCCTTGTGGTGGCTCTCGGTCTTCTTGGGCAGCAGCACAGCCTGGATGTTGGGCAGCACGCCACCCTGCGCGATCGTCACCTTGCCCAGCAGCTTGTTGAGCTCCTCGTCGTTGCGGATGGCCAGCTGCAGGTGGCGCGGGATGATGCGCGTCTTCTTGTTGTCGCGCGCCGCGTTGCCCGCCAGCTCCAGGATCTCGGCCGTCAGGTACTCCAGCACGGCCGCCAGGTACACCGGGGCGCCGGCGCCCACGCGCTCGGCGTAGTTGCCTTTCCGCAGCAGCCGATGCACTCGGCCCACTGGGAACTGCAGGCCCGCGCGGGAGGAGCGGGACTTAGCCTTTGCCCGCAACATTACTTAGGAATTAAGACAAATGACCACCAGTAAGGATAAACGTATGTGAATGTTTCTTGCCCAAATGACAAGCTATTATACTTCTAGTAGGGATTGTAAATTACGCTCTGTAATTGGCTAGAACAAACTACAGAATGTAACCAATTGTAGAGAAGAACTGGAAATCACCTAATTTGCATGTGACGTCGTGTTCTGGGAAATCTACCCAATCAGAGCCTAAATTTTGAAACGCCACGTTTACATACAAGCCCTACAAATATTAACATCGTTGCAGTTCGAGCCAGTCATTTCTCCTGTAGCTGGATTCCTGAGTGGTCTCTATCATGCCTGAGCCAGCGAAGTCGGCGCCTGCCCCGAAGAAGGGCTCCAAGAAGGCGGTGACCAAGGCCCAGAAGAAGGACGGCAAGAAGCGCAAGCGCAGCCGCAAGGAGAGCTACTCGGTCTACGTATACAAGGTGCTCAAGCAGGTCCACCCGGACACGGGCATCTCGTCCAAGGCCATGGGCATCATGAACTCCTTCGTCAACGACATCTTCGAGCGTATTGCGAGCGAAGCGTCTCGCCTGGCGCATTACAACAAGCGCTCGACCATCACGTCGCGGGAGATCCAGACGGCCGTACGCCTGCTGCTGCCCGGGGAGCTGGCCAAGCACGCCGTGTCCGAGGGCACCAAGGCCGTCACCAAGTACACCAGCTCCAAGTGAGCGCGCCCGCCGCTTCCTGCAAACCCAAAGGCTCTTTTCAGAGCCACCCACATTGTCTTTTAAAGGTCTGTAACTGGAAACTTGAGTCAGGGCATTAAATGACGGCGGGGGTTTTTTTCCTTAATACTTTAACACAGTGATTTAAGATGTTCAGTTGGTTCCACTTAGCTGACGTAACTATCAACAGAAAAGATGCCTAATGTTTAGATCGAGCCCATCTTACTACGCTCTTCCCTGCCCCCCACGCCGCCACTCCCTAAACATGTTTTGTTTCCCTTTTCACCGTTGGCCTTGATCAGGGAGTAACCAGGTAGAATCCTAGAATGTTGAGAGTTACTGTATCAGATTAGGTTAAGAATGCCTAAGCGAAAATTATATTTTTTATCTTGCTGGTAGAGCTGCATCTGAGGAAATCTGATTATATAAACCACAGGTCTCTGCCACAACTTTGCCCATAGATCACTGAGTCTCCACATTTGTTCACTGATTTTATCATTGTCATTATTTGAAGGTTAAAACCTGTTCTATCCAACCTAGTTTGCTGCTCACCTGAACATACAAGCTTTAGAGATAGAACAGGCAACATAACTGGGAGGGAGGGAGGGAAGATGTAAAAATTATTTCCATGTAGTACATCCATCGTGGGGAGAACTGGGTCTCATACTGCAGCTGCCCTTAACTAGTTTTCACTTTCAAGTTTCCCCTAACTATCCTCAGTGTTCTGGACCTTGTCCACAGCTTCTTTGTTCCTTGAAATTTCATTTTAAGAGAAAAGTTTCAAGGCATTTAGATCTCTGGGCCATTGTTTGCATTCACTATGTCGATTAGCCTGCAATCACTTACTATAAAATAGAATCATTTGGAGGGTTTTAGGCTTCGGTTTTTGGTTTGTTTGTTTAGTTTCTTTGAGAAAGGGTCTCACTGTGTAGTTCAGGCTGGCCTTGAACTCACTATGCAGTCCAGGCTGGCCTGGAATCATTTGTTTTACGGGAAAATGACCTGAGAAATTAAGGTTAAGTAACTGGTCTCTTACATAGAAATTCTGAGATCTGAATCCCATCTGTATGAATCTAAGGATTAGTTAGTTGCATAGTATTTGTTAGTAACAACTCTGGCAGGAAGCTAGTTCCAATTATATAAGGGGAGATTTAGATTCAGTTGAAGTCAAACAGATCAGGAGATACACATATGTTGTGCAACAAAGCCATATATTACACCAGCGAATGTTTGTTTGTTTGTTTGTTTAATCAGTTTTGGAAACTCAAACTCACCTGAAAGGAAATGTAATCTCTGAACGTCATGGGGGAGGAGGCTGGGGAAGGGTATGGAGGTTGGCAAAGTAAAACAGCTTGAAAACCTTATTTTTTGCTTATTAGCTATATGGTTGCAAATGCTGATGGAGCAAATGACTGTCGACACTAAGTAACCCAATTTTGCAAAGACTCATGAAGGAAATTTCACAAGTTTCATAATGTTATTCAAGCATTCATTTCTTGATCTTCAATACTAATCTGTTGTTTTGTTTTGTTTTGTTTGTTTTGGTACAGGGATCAAGCTCTGACCTTGTGCTTGAGAGGCAGGTGGCAGAACCACTGAGCCAAATCCCCGGCCCTCTTCAATACTAATTTTGAAATAAAATTTTAAACAATGTATTCATGAGAATACTGTATTATGGTTTAAACAAGAAATCCCTCAGAACAAGGTAGTCCTGACTGAAGCATTTTGGGCAACTTATTTCATTCCCCTGAGCATTCACTGAACTCTAAACAGAAGATTGACTACCTGTCTTTGCCAGGTTGATCATTTGTGTGTAAGAACACAAAATGAATGTAGCACAGAGGAAACTCCCCAACCCATGAGAATACTGTATTATGGTTTAAACAAGAAATCCCTCAGAACAAGGTAGTCCTGACTGAAGCATTTTGGGCAACTTATTTCATTCCCCTGAGCATTCACTGAACTCTAAACAGAAGATTGACTACCTGTCTTTGCCAGGTTGATCATTTGTGTGTAAGAACACAAAATGAATGTAGCACAGAGGAAACTCCCCAACCCCCCACACATTGAGTCCTGAGACTTTAAACCAGGCAATAGTCTCCTTGTCCAGCAGTAGAAACAGTATTCTTCAAAGAGCCCAACCCCTCTCTTAGACTATGGTTTTCCCCGAAGTGTTTTTGAGGACATCCTAGTTCCTATAGTTGTCATGTTTCCCCCAAAATATGATTTAGCTGGAACATAATCAGCTTTGAAGACTAAAGATCAAAAATGCCTGCCCCAATCAGCCTGTCCTTGTCTCACCTGCTTTCCAGACTAGCCTCTGAGCAAGAGACCAGTGATGGCAGGTAAGGCAAGGAAAGGCTGATTGGGGCTCGTATTTTATATCTCTAGTATTTGAAGTTGATTGTGTCCTGGCTAGGTCTTATTTTCGGGCAAAGACAGTGTTAGAACTCCGTCTTTGACTGCCACCTAAGCAATGTAATATTTTCCAACCATTTTTTCCCCCAGCCCTCACTAGAAGAACCAGGGTATCCCGTGAAATTATGTCTATAAAAATCGACTAGGAAAAGAATTCAGATAAAAAAGAAAGTTTTGATTAGCCATTTGCATACCACAGAAAGGTGAGATTTACAAAGCAGGGCGCTCCCAGAGACGATGAGGGGAAATTGAAAAAAGCTCTCGCACAGGTGAGCACTCCGAACGCTATGCAAACAAGGGACGGGGACCTGAAGAAAGCGATCGAGCCTGATTGGTTGATTGACCTGGAGCACCTGTCTGGTCAGATCCATGCAGGCCCCGGCTTTGAGCAGATTGTTTATCTGGCAGTTTAAGGAGAAACGACCTGGTAAAGAGTGTTAAGTTCAGTTTGTGGTTGTTGTGGAAGTAGAATGTTTAATTTATATTCTTTAATTTATATTCTTCCTTCATCCTTTATATTACTTCAAGACTGTCCATTCTTCAACCATAACATGAAAGGTTTCACATGTTCTTCAGAGCTTTATATCTTTATAAAGTCTTCCATCCATATAAAGCATTTTACATGAATGTGCATGTGTTCCTTTTGTTAATCTACCTTTTGTTCCAGGGGAGGCCCCATCAATGAAACCAAGATGCAAAAACAAAAAAAAAGATAGTTTTCTCGCCCAGAATATATTCCAGATGTGTGTGTGTGTGTGTGTGTGTTTTCTGTATATTTATCTGTTTCTCACATAAAAAAGTAGAACATTGACAAGATCCAGAGATAAATAATCACAAAATGAAAGTGATTAGGAAATGTTTTTGTTTGCCAAGGCTGCCATAACAAAGTACCACAGGATGAATAGCTGAAACAAATGTATTTTCTTACAATTCTGGAGGCTAAAGTTCTGAGATCGAGCCTGGAGCACGGTTTTCTTCTGAGCCTCTTTGCCCGATTGGTGAATGGCTATCTTCCCTATTTCCTCACAGGGCATTTCTCTGTGCATGTTTATGTCCTCATCTTTTATCAAGATACCCCAGTGAGTCAGGACCCACTCCAATAATATAATATAGCATCTTTACTATAGGCTTTCTTTCCAAATATGGTCAAATTTTCAAACTTATGGATTTGAATACAAGTTAGTGGCACATACAATTCAGCCCATAAGAGGAAGACGTGGCGATTACACCAATTAACTATTCTACAGGGGTCTCAAACTCAGCAGGACCAAGATTGGCCTCATGACTTCCCCTCAGCTCCACTTACTCATCTAGATTTGAAATCTTCTCCTTATGCAAGTATACTACCCATTCTTTTCTGCATAGATTTAATCATACACAAAGCTCTACTGATTTTTGTAAGACTCAAAGTCTCACTTCCACTCCACGGAATGTGAACGGCCAAAAAGGCCTCCATGATGCTGGGCCCTAAAACCCAGCTAGGCTCCAGGAGCTCGACAGAGGAATAAGAAACCCAGGAGGGAACACACCAGCCTAGATGGTAAACAGACCTTTATTAGTCTGGCCAGATGGCACTCCCGGAGCCAGGTAGCTCAGAGAGGCAACTGCTCAGGGGCTGAGGTGCTTTTTATAAGGTTTTTCTAAACAAAAAGTCAGGGAATTCACAGAACAAGACTGCAAACACATTGCTTATCTTATGCAGGAAATGTTCTAGGGTCACTTTTTTTTGTCATACCATTTGCCCCTGGGCGGGCTGTTAGCCAAATTAGCAATTAGCATATGAAGAAGCACAGTCTCTGTCCTATCAGCATGGAGTCACTTTAGTTTATTCAAGTCTTACAATTTTAACTTCTAATTTGTATATTGTTCCTATTTCTGTTGATTTTGCTTTTAAAAAGTAGAAATATAAATGTGTAAGAGTAGAATTTTGGCTAAGAATATGTTCCATGCAGAAGTCAAAAATAATATTGTAGGAAAAATAAAATATGCTTGTGGAGCAGTATGAAGGAAAAGAAAATTGTCAAATAATGTATTCCCATTTATGTCATTTTTATTCACACACATGATTTAGTCACAAGGGAAAAAAAACAGATTAATGCCAAAATGTTTACAGTGTTGCTATTTCTTTAAAGTTCTCTGTAGAGAAACTTCTCAGGCTGGGGATGTAACTCAGAAGTGCTACACCTGCCTGGCAAGCACAACGTCCTGAGTTCAATTCCCACTACTTTAAAAAAAAAAAAAAAAAAAATTGAAGAGAACCTCTCTACTTGGCTCTCTTCAAAATTCCCAGTTACAGATGGGAAGTTCTGTCACAGACCTTTCCTCTCCAGATTTCCTGGCCCTACATTTTTTTAAAAAAGTAATTTGTTCCATGAATAATTAACTATGTATAAGATATAGTAAGAGGTACACAAAATTTGGGACACAAAAGTGAATAGAATAAAAATTTGAAGATACAATTCTGTAATCAGGAAATTTTTTTTGAAGTAAAAGTATCATAACCTAAACAGGAAAAACAGACTGAGAAGTATTTGTGAACCACCCAATCCTGTAAGTCTAAAGTATCCTAGAAAAAGACAATGAAAGTCAAAACTCCATGAGGCCCAACAGAGCAAATCCAATAGGCAAGAATTTAAAGGGAGAGGGAGAAAAATAAAAAAGAACCAATAAAAGGAAAATAACACTACAATAATAAAGTCAATACATACCAGTTATAACCATCAGTGTGAAGGACTACTATATAGAATATATAAAGAATTTTTTAAAAATCAAACTCCCAAAATATAAAGACCCAAATCAAAACTAGGCATCTGAAATGAACACACATTTCTCAGGAAAAAAAGTAAAAGCAGCAAATAAACGTATGAAAAAATGTTCGCCATCAATGGTCATTGTAGAGTTGGGCATGAAAAAAACTGAGATTCCATCTCACCTCAGAAAGAATGGCTCTTATCAAGAAATCAACCAGCTGGGAGTGGTGGTGCTCACCTGTAATCCCAGCACTCGAGAGGCTGAGGCAGGAGGATCACTGTATGTTTGAGATGAGCCTGGGCTACACAGTGAGTTCCAGAGCAGTCTCAACTACATAGTGAGACCCTGCCTCAAAAAAACAAAACCAAAACAAACAAACAAAAAAATCAACCAATAACAAATGCGGGTGCGGTTGTGGGGAGATAGGAACTTTTCTTCATTGTTGGGAGTGCAGACTGGTGTAACCGCTGTGGAAATCATAAGGAGATACCTCAAAGAATTCAGATTAGAGGTCCCCTTTGACCCAGCTATTCCGCTGCTGAGTATCTTCCCAAAAGAAATAAAGGAATCATACCACAGTGATATATGTTCACCCACGTTTATAACAGCTAAAATTTGGAGACAGCCCATCAACTGGAGACTGGATAAAGATGTGGTTTTTTTTTTAATATAACATGGAGTACTCCTCAGCCATAAAGAATAAAAAACTATACCTAAGTGGATGCACACTGAGGCCATACTCTTAAGTGGAATTAATAAAACATGTGTAAATACCAAACAGCTTCTCTGGTGTGAAAAACAGAAAGTGTAAATAAGGATTAAAATGTACAGTTGATATTGTGTGACAGGAAGAAAAGGTCTAAAGGAGTAGAGAAAGTGGGAGGGGTAGGGAAAGATAAGAGAAATGGAAACAATGTGAAGGGCGGAGGTGGTGAAGGGAAGGCTGCGGAAAGGGGAAAATAAGAACCAAAACAAGTCTTATAAAAAGGTACAAGATCCCAATGATGATTATAACTGTATTGTATACCTAAATTGTACCAATGAACAATACTTTCAAAAAAAGAAGCAGGATAGATCATGTACAAGTACAAATTCCCTATGATGAATGTGATTATACTTATGTAAAATGCACCAATGAATGCTTTGCTCTTAAAAAAAATGAAATCTACATTGGAGAGCAAAAAGTAACTTCCCTCAGAGAAAATTTCCTATTTACTGTGTATATGTACATTTATTCTCGCTAAATAAATATATATTTTTAAATAAACATATGTCCTTATTTATAATCATGCATACCATACTGACCACAAACAAGATCAAATAAGAAAGCTAAACAAAACAGTGCAATGTGATTATAAAGGACTGAAAAACACATAGGAGTTTTATAGCAAGAATGATAGAAATACCAAATTCTAAATTGTGGCTACCTCTGGTGGGTAGCATCAGGGGCAAACTGCAGCAAAGCAGTTATAGGTTATTCATGTTACATCTGGTTGTTAAGTGGGTTCAAGTATGATCATCATACTATCCTTTATAACTTAGCTATGTTTATATAGAATTATGACTTAAGGCTAAGAAACAACATGCAAATATATTAATGGAAAAATCATGATCTTAACCTCCATAGACAATTAAATGTTGCTTGTTCTGAAATTTTGTTACAAGAAATATCACCCTCTTTAAGGATAGCAGTTTGCAAAGTTGCTAATACACTAGACTTGTTTTGAAAGGATTCTTCATGAAATATTTTCCTTTTCTGCCATGCTCTTCAGACATCCTGTCACAGTCCCTTCCTGCTGTGCTTCTCTGCCGGGTGGGTGTTGACTTTGCAATATACTTTCCAAAGAAAGGAAAAATACAGCAAGTAGTATGGGGGTTGCTGCGGTTCATTGTGAGTGATCAGACAGCCTCACTGACAGGATGCTGTTTAAATACAAACCTAAGGAGAGGAAGCAATGCCTGAGGAAGTCTGGAAGAGAAGTGGCCTGTGCAGAGGGAACAGTCAGAACAGATATGTATCATCAGAACAGAGACCCTGGGCTCAGGGAGGTTCCAGAGGCTGGTGCCACTAGGGTAGGAGAGAGAGGAAAAGTACTGGGATTTGAGGCCTAAGAGCTAACAAAGACCTAAAAGCGAGGCATTCTGGGCCAGGGAAAGTACTTTGGGCTTCACTTTGAGTGCAATGAGCATCACGGATCCCGGAAGAAAGGTGACTGATCTCACTAGCCCTTGTTTGCAGTCTGGATGGCTGCTGTATGAAAGAAAGCAAAGGCAGAACCAGGTGAACAGGACACTGCACCAATAAAAGTGAACAAGGACAACGGGAATAAGAAATGCTTTGTGTTTTCAGAATTGAGTTATTATGACTGATAGAGTAGATGTCCAGCGTGAAAGGAAAGACAAAAATGGCTCCAACTAAAAAGGTAGATTTGCAGTTCACCAAATTCAAGAGGATGACAGGACTTCTTTTTTGCAGAGATGATTTCCAAGATTCTATTTGAAGGCCATTAAAGTTAGAAGTGAATGTTAATTGGGCTGTCTCAAGGGCTTTCCAATAGGTAGCGGTACAGTCTGAGAGTGGGGCTCAAGGAAAAAAACCTGTGGGGTAGTGATGTAACTTTTCATATTATCAACAGATAGACCTATCTCCATAGCAACAAGGAGATAGCAGTTCAACAGCATCAGATTTTTGTTCTCAGGACTCATCTGTAAAGACCTTTAGATTCAGTCAGATCAACAGAAGAGAAAAGGTAGCATCAGATATAGAACATTTGTTTTGTTTTGTTTTCCATATCAGGTATCAAACTGAGGACCTTGCACTTGGGAGGCAGGCAGCAGAACCACTAAGCTAAATCCCCTGGTACAGAACACTTCAACTGACTACTGTCGTAGACTTCAGGAGGCCTGAAAACATTGAAACTGTTTACAAATCATGTGGGGAGAAGCAATGCATTTCAGAAAGGGTGTGTATTATATACTGGATCTCTGCATCTCCACAGGGATTGCCCCATGACTCCAATTTAAAGACATTATTTGGGTGAGATTTCCAGAGCCATTGCATACCCTATTACTGAGGGCATTTTTCCATATAGGAGTAAAATGTATTCTGTGCTGAGAATTACAGGACAAAGGAAGAAAAGTGGACAAAGCCCTTCTAAAACCAAAGTTATGAATCTATACATCATGGGTACCTAGTAACATTCCTTATTTCTCTGACCTGGGGCTTCATCCTTGAACTGCTTCTATTCATTTATCAAGCTTCTTTCCCAAAAGATTTCTTCGGATCTTGTGGCTTATTTTCAAGGCAATTACATTCAATTATGTTCCAACTTCTTTTCCCTAAACTCCTGACTCATATATCCAGCTACCTATGTCACATCATCCTCTCCCTGAATATTCAAAACTAGACCTATAATTCCCTTCAAAAACTTGCTCCTGATATTCTTCCCAATTTTAGCAATGTGGTTTCTCTATCTCAGTTTCCGTGGTTAAAATCATAGGAAGCATCCACAAATTTTCTTTCTCAGAATCTACACATCACTAGTTCATGGGAAAAAAAAAAAAAAAAAAAAGT